TAGCCACTCCCTTTTATAAGAAGCATTTTGAAACGTACCATTCTCTATTCTTAAATGAAAGTCTTAGACCACTAACTGTAACCCCAATATGTAGACTGGTCCAGATAGAAGCTGTATTCTCCTCCTTCCCTTTGCCACTGGGTGTGGCCATATTACTAAATTTTGCCAATGGGATGTCAGAGAAATGACATGTGCAGCTTCAAGTTCATGTTTTCTTGTTCACCTAATTGTTTGCACTCCTCTTCCACTTTACCTCTTTTCATGGGCCAGAATGTAGATGTGATAATGCAATCACCTTTTGACCATATTGATTAGGACCAACCTGGGGGTTGGCATAACAATAAAACAGAAAAAACTTGGGAGTCTAAATGATCTTGTGGGGCAAAGCCTCTTCCAACCCTGGATCATTGGCCCACATTTGGTCAGGTATACAATAAAGAGACAGATAAACTTCTGTCTTGTATGACTCCCTGTAATTTGGAGTCTCCTTGTTACAGCAATTGTAGCCTGTAACATAATTAATATATCTGACTACATGAATAATTTCAAAATACTATAACTGTAATATAAAAGAGAAATAAAATATATTTATAATAAAATAAAAATGCATTTCTATATGTGTATGCTTGAGAACAACTACATTTGAAGACATAATCAGTAAGATAAATGCCAGTCATCCTTATCATGAATAAATAAGTTTGGATAAAGTCAATCTGTACTGGTCTATAGAAAAATGTACCAACAGAAGTAGTGGTGGACATAAGAACAGAAACTACTTTTTTTTTTTTTTACTTATAACTTTATTGTAGACATACTTCACTCATTCTTTTTTTAAAAATATTTTATTTATTTATTTAAGAGAGAGAATGAGAGAGAGCATGAGTGGGGGAGGAGGGGCATAGGGAGAGGGAAAAGCAGACTCCCTGCTGAGCAGGGAGCCCAATGCAGTGCTCAATCCCAGGACCTTGGGATCATGACCTGAGCTGAAAGCAGGCACTTAAACAACTGAGCCACCCAGGTGCCCCATACTTCATTCATTCTTTTATTATTCTTATTAATTTACATATCTGACTTCTAGACTGTAGGAAAGTATCTGCATTTCCTTTTTTATTTATTTAAGTTTTAGGTAGTTAACATACAGTGCAATATTGGTTTCAGGAGTAGAATTCAGTGATTCATCACTTACATACAACACCCAGGACTCATCATAACAAGTGCCCTCCTAATACCCTTCACCCATCTAGCCCACCAGCACCCACCTCCCTCCATCAACCCTCGGTTTGTTTTCTATCATTAAGAGTCTTCTATTGCTTGATTCCCTCTCTCCTTTTTTTCTTTTCCCCTTCCCATATGTTTATCTGTTTTCTTTCTTAAATGCCACATATGAGTGAGATCATTCTGAAATACGGCTTTTTGTCTAACATGTTATACTTCAGTATTATTGGAGTATAAACATATTCCAATATATATGTATATATATATATATATACATACATATATATATATATACACAATAATATAACATATATGCATGCCACATCTTCTTCATTCATTCATCAGTTGATGGACATTTGGACTCCTCCATAGTTTGGCTATTGTTGATAATGCTGCCATAAACATCAGGGTGCATGTATTCCTTTGAATCTATATTTTTGTATCATTTGGGTAAATACATAGCAGTGCAATTGCTGGATGGTAGGGTAGTTCTATTTTTAACATTTTGAGGAATCACCATACTGTTATCTAGAGTGGTTCCACCAGTTTGCATTCCCAACAAGAGAAGAAACAACAGGTGTTGGCAAGGATGTGAAACTACTTTTAAGTTAAGTAGTAACAGATCAGACATTTTATATAATGAAAGAAAAGAAACTAATCTTAATTGAAAGAGAGATAATATTCCAAAATAAATTATAGATTGCCCAAGCATAGAAAATGAGAAGTATTATATTCTCCCAAATGAGTTTGGCAAAATAATTCCCTATAGGGGAAATAATTCTCTGTGTGCTATGACATGAGATGACCTAGTAACCAGATATCGCAGAAATCCCACAACACATCAGGGTCACATTCAGTCTCTAGTACTTGAAAATAATTTGTCCATAACTTTTAATACGTGAGGAAGAATGTCTTTTTTTTTTTAAGACTTTATTTATTTATTTAGAGAGAGACAGGAAAGAGAGAGTGCAAGTGGGAAGAGGGGCAGAGGGAGAGAGAGAGAATCTCAAGCAGATTCCATGTTGAGTGCGGAGGCTGACACGGGGCTCAACCTCACCACCCTGAGATCATGACTTGAGCTGAAATCAAGAGTTGGACACCCAATCAACTGAGCCACCCAGGTGCCCCAAGGAAGACTATCTTGATAATCTTGATAATAAATTACAAAAAGAAGCAATTTATTACATAAGATGTAATAAAGAATTTTAAGGTAGACTTTGGGGACAGTATCAAAGTAAGATTGGAAAACAACAGACTATCTAAAAATAATTTCAATCTGTAGTATTTGTAACAGATTTCTTAGCATTATTCTAAAGTGTTACAAATATATAAAGGGTAGCAATACTATGAAATCTTTCTAAATGCTTATTTTTTGAAATTCAAAGAGATCAATACATTTATCTGTCAATTTAGTAATATTTGATTTTAAGACTGTTAAAAGGCATCTCAGATTTCTTGTTTCAGATTTGTAAATGTTTTCCATGGTATCTCAGTAATTGCACTTCTACTCTTTACAGCTAAATATGTAGTTAAATATGTTCCAATATGTTGAATAGAAAATAAGTAAATTATTCAATAATTTCGAGAACAGTGTGTTTATTCCATTTCAGTTTCCTGCTCTATAATAAGGCTTCTAAATTCCTTGGCTTTTTGTCTAACATGTTATACTTCAGTATTATTTTGTATTAAATCACTACACAGTTAACAGTTGACCCTTGAACAACACAGGTTTGAACTGCACAGATCCACTTACACACAGATTTTTTACAGTACAGTATTGTATATGTATATTCTCTTCCTTATGATTTTAACATTTCTTTTTCTTTAGCTTACTTTATTGTAAGAATACAGTATATAATACATATAACATACAAAATATGTGTTAATTGTTTATGTTTTTATTACGGCTTTCAGTTGACAATAGGTTATTAGTAGTTAAGTTGTCGGGGAGTCAAATGTTATACGTGGGCTTTTGACTGCAGCAGTCAGTGCTCCAACCCTGTGTTGTTCAAGGGTCAACTGTATATTTATAGTTTGTTGAGTCTAGCAGCACATTCAAAAGTCATGCCAAATGCATGACTTTTTGTGATACAGTTTGTTCCATGCATTGCAAGATAGCTAGTTCCCTTACCTTCGCTCAACAAAAAGCCCTGTATTTCCCCAAACCCCTGTAGCCCAAGACACTTCTACAAATTCCTAACACATTCCAAGACACATAGGGAAGTGTCTCTCAAATTATCTGTGTTAAAGGATCAGTTTTTCCCCCAGTATGCCCAAGATCTATACTTCTATACAATTAAAAATAAGTTACCAGGAAAAAAGTGAAATAGAAAATAAATACAAAATATAAGTTCCATTTTATCATTACACTCAACAGACAAAAATGACTCTGTTGAATTACTATACAAGTTTCTAAATGGTTCCTGTCATTTTTTGCTCTTATCTCATTGCAGACCAATAATAAATAGTTCACAGACTAGCTCTGGTCCACGGACCACACTTTAAATAGCACTGTCCTAGAGACAGTAGTACCATATCCATTGAGAATCACTGGTAAAAATAAAACAATATATAGAAATGTTAGTTATTATCTTTATCTTTTTTGATTCTAAATATCCTTTAGCAGAGACTAAAATAAACAATTCCACCCACATTAACAATTGTGCACTAGCCCACACGTTCCTGTCTAAATGGTCAGACATACACATAAGTACTATTTCCTTTCCTTTTAAGAGGCAACCTTGTCTTCTATGATATGGAATTCCTCTCTGCAAAGGTGCAACAACATTATTTAGCCAGTGAAAAGTACAGATTACTTTTACGAGTCAAAAAGCAAAAGGGTAAAACAAAATCAGATTTTAAAAGGACTCATGATAAAAATAAATAAATAATACAAAAATAAAAGGACTCATGATATATATATAATCAGAATACAAAAATGATGCTTACCTTGTTGCCTGTCCATCTGTAGGTTTGTGACGAACATTTTTTCTGTTCTGCCAGGTTACATTCAACCTTTCCTGGGCCCACCCTGCACCAACCCCACCATTCAACACAGGAAATACTAGAGGGATAGGCTCTCCTTTCAATCACAATTCTTTTTCTTATGACATCAATATATTATTTGTCTAAAAGAATTTAATTTAAGCATTGGGTCTTTCTCTTTTTAAGTACTGTCCTGTTAAGAATACTGTCACTTGAGGAGAATGTCAAGGTTCATCCTATCCCAATCATAGTTTTGACAATAAATAGTTAAACATCTCCCTGCATACAATACACAGAATGATGTGTTAAATTTTTAAAATTCTTTTAAAATGCTATTGACTTTACAAATTTTATTTTAAAAAATCTAGGTTTAGATTGATATAAATGGCTGATCTTATTCTCAACTTCAAGGTAAAGTCCACATTAAGCTGTGGATTTTAATTATTTAAATTTTCCACGAGATTGCACACATTCCAATAACATGGTACACAAAAAATATTTTAGTATATGAGAGTTTGTATGTGAAATACAATGTAAATAAAAGCAATTGCTAACTTGTTAACTTTAAATTTTTCTACTGTTCTAATTTCTAATAATTCTATAACACTGATATAAGTAGTCATAAATACTAAATTTCTAGTGTCAACCTGAGAAAGGAAACATATACTCAACCAACATTTAGAAGAAAAAACTCATATGTCATTTTGCTTTTAAATATTAATTCAATTTTCTTTTAAAAATAGCTTTAATCAAATGGAATTTGAAGTCTGCATATTTTATATAATGAAACATGATCTTACCCTTTTCTTGGCTACCACAGCAACTTTGCCATCTGCCTTGGATTTATCTGTAAGATAATGAAGTATGGCTGTTTCAAAAAAATGCCTACACTCCTGTTTAAATAAGTGCAACGTTATACAATTAGAATTTTCTACTTTTCTCATACTGTAATATGTGTTTTTAATGGTTCTTTGATCAAAATGCTAACAAACTCAACTTCCCAGAGTAGAACAAAATAATCCAAAAGTAATAGTATTAGGGATTCATATACTTATTTGACAAACCTCCTCCCTTAAATCTAATTAGGTAGATGTTCTCGAGTTAGAATCTAGAGTATCTTATTCTAGGTTCTGGTAAGCTTATGTACTCTCAAGTATATGGGATCTGGAATGAAATCCCAGCGATCTCTACTTGAACATCCACTCCGTGCCAGACATGGGATAAAGACTTTACATAGACAATATCTTATTTAAACTTCATGATAATCTTGCAAAGTATGTAGTCCATCACCATTTCACAGCCAAGAAAGTTGAGGCTAAGTACCATGCCTGAGGCCATGCAGTGGGGCCAGACCCATCTGATGGCAAGTCTCTAATCTTTATGCCTGCTGCCTCCATGTGGGATCCCTATGTAACACTCAACAAAAAAGAGGACTACAACCAAATAGAATACAGAAAATTATTTTAAGATTTTATTTTGATATATGCAAACCTGTGTGTGAATTAGTAAAAATTACTGGGAATAACAATTAATAATTGGATTTTTATGGGTTCAATGTTGAATCCCAATTACATGAATTGTACATAAATATTTACTCATACATTTGTTTTATTAACCTTAATATTATGGTAATGAAAAACGAATAGAGCTATGGACATTAGTATTAAGGTTTTAGGATTACATTTAATGTTAAAGAAGAACATATAGAAATATAGAAATTAAATTTATTGGGGCGCCTGGGTGGCTCAGTCGTTAAGCATCTTCCTTCGGCTCAGGTCATGATCCCAGGGTCCTGGGATCGAGCCCCGCATCGGGCTCCCTGCTCCGCGGGAAGCCTGCTTCTCCCTCTCCCACTCCCCCTGCTTGTGTTCCTTATCTCTCTGTCTCTCTCTCTGTCAAATAAATAAATAAAATTTTTAAAAAAAGAAAAAAGAAATTAAATTTATCAATATAGGACTATAATTCACAATGAACATGTAAAACTAACAAAAAGAATAAATATCCATGAATATAAGAGTATATAAATGCTTGCTATCTAAAAGCAAACTTTGCAGTAAGAAACAAATTATTGGCATAAAACACAGAAATCCAGAGAAGCAGGTTATTATATTTATACTTATAATTAGCTGGCCACATATAAATTGCCCTCTTTCCTATGTTCAGCTGTGTGCTTGGAATAATCCCTTCCTCTGGAATACCCTTTTTCTTCCCACTGATGAATTTACAAGACCATTCACCATCACAGATGATTCCTCCACCTAGGAGAAATAACCATCTCTGTTGCAAAACCACAGCATCCCAGGACACAGAACTTTCCTCCTTGTATTATGGTTAGTTCTATATATGTCTAAGCACTCTGCAAAACTAGAATGTGCCTTAAAGACAGGGACCATGTTTTATATAAAGTAGGTGCTCAATATTTTTTTAATAATTAAAAATGTACATGTATTTTATTCAAAATCTTATATGGATCTGAAATATACATTTTACTTGAACAAACTAATATAATTTATTGGTTAAAATACATATAATATTTACATGGTATAAGTTACTATACTAGACAGTGTAAGGTATAAAACACTGTATATGTTCTCAGGCCTTTAGTTTCTTTATTGATAAACCAGGAGTAATTAATTATTATCTTATTGGTATATTATGAGATTCAAATAATAGAATTTATATAAAGTTCCTAAAACAATGTCTGGTAGCTAATAGATTATCAACAATGTTCTCTTTCATTTTAGCTAATAAAGACATTCTAGGGGTGTGTGTATGTGTGTTTGCGTGTGAGAGAGAGAGAGACAGAGAGAGAGAGAGAGCTAATCTTTGGAATACTAGCGAAAATAGTTTAGTGATGACACATTTTACTACTGTATCATCTTGTTAAGTGATTCTATCATTCTCCCATTTAAATAATTTGTTTTAGGTCTTTTTAACATAGTTGGAAATAAACTGATAAGTAATGATAAAAGAGCAAAGATTATTGAAATTCCATAATTATTTCAAATTTCTAAAAGGGCCCTGATAATTACAAGATAGAATAAATTCTATTGTATCTAAAATTTTTTTCTCTTTTCTCTTTTGAAAATCGCTAATAACAATAAAAGCCATGATGAAATATCAACCTGTACCCATAGTTAAAACTGCACAAAAAGGAAACTCAAAAACTAAAACTGGATCCAATGGACCCTGATCATATACTGAGAGTTAATAAAAAAAGAATACAAATTCTCCTCGACATATACATCATTCTTATGTAAAATTTCCAGTAGGGAGACAATTGGGAACAGAAATAGCCAAACTGCTGTTCAAGGAACTTTTTATGTTGAAAAGTTGCACAACCTGGTGCAACATAGAAGTGTTTTGGGGAGTATCAACAACGACTCTGATTTTCAAAGGGATTTGCCAAAGGGAGAAAGTCTGATGTAATGCTGAGAAACATTACAATCATTAGCAATTTTTCTATTAATAACAGTAAATCCATGTTCAACTTCAACATTAAACACTTTCTAAGAGCTGAATTTTCCCTAGTGAGAAAAGTTTAATTTTCTCCCTTCAGAAATCTCTGCATGTAGGGACCCTCACACAGAGTGAAAAGCAGTTAACAGGAAATGTAGATTTGGATAATTAAAAGGGCCTTTACTCCACTTCTGGGCTATATCCACATCATAGTTTTAAAGTGCAAAAGAGGAGTGGCAGGTAGAAAATGAAAATGTTCCAAGTCAATAGAGGTGGTTATGCCTCATGACTCATAACAGATGTTAAAAATTTTTTATTTATAAGCATTTTAGAGAGGAGTGCAAATATTAACATAAATCAATGGCTTCTTTTTTTTTTAAGACATATATTTTTAAAGCCCGTCCATTTATGGCCTCAGAAAATCTGTCAGTCTATGCTTCTTTAGAAATGACAGGTGAAAGAAAGCATTTTCTTAAAAAGGTAGAGGATAGGTCCAGTTTCCTATCTGGCATGTAAAGAGCTTAGAAGTCACATTCCATCCTCACAACAAATAAAAAGCTGAACAAATTGAAAATCAATAACTCTTCTTAGATCCCTTAGAGAAGTGAGGTCACAGGGCAAACCACTGCCCCCAAATTTGGAGAGACAGGTGAATACAAAGAATCACAACTTAATGGAGCAGAAACCTTCACAGGAACTAGCGCTGGGGTAGGAACACCTGAACTGTAATTGATGAATTGCTGGAGCCTCAATGTGAACAAGCTGAGAGAGAGAAATTCTAGGGGGACCCAGTCATGCAGGAGGCAAGCACACTTTTGTGAGTTTACCTACATGAGCTCTATCAGGTTCTCACGGTGAAGACTGGAGAAAAATACCTTTGTGCTTCCTCAGTGGAGGAAAAAAAAAGTAACCATTTTGAAATATGCCAGGGCATTCAGTTCTTAGCAGTTTGCCCTCAAGATAAACTATTTTACCAGAGCCTCACCTATTGTGGTTTTTTAGAGCCTAACCAATTAGCGGGAAGGGAACAAATCTAAAAAGAATGAGAAGCACTTGTGCAGCTCAAAGCCCAGGACTGAGACCTAAGCATAGAGCTATAGACTGCCCTCCCTAGCCCCACATGCCTTACCACTACACTACTAAAGGCCTATTTACCACAGTTTCTTTTACCTGGTACATCATGTTTGCCTTTCTGCAAAAAATTACGAGGCATACTAAAAGGCAAAAACAATTTGAAGTGACAGAGTAAGCATCAAAAACAGACCTATATATGTCAGAGATGTTGGATGATCAGACTGTGAATTTAAAACAACTATGTTGAATATACTAAGGCTCTAGTGTTAAAAGTAGGCAACATTCAGGAACAAATGGGTACTGGAAGCAGAGAGATGGAAATTTTTTTTTTAAAAGATTTTATTTATTTATTTGAGAGAGAGAGAGAGCTTGAGCACAAGTGAGGTGGGGAGCAGAGGTGGAAAGAGAGGGAGAAGCAGCCTCCCCATTGAACAGGGAGCCCAATGCGGGGCTCTATTTCAGGACCCTGAGACCATGACCCAAGCCAAAGGCAGACGCTTAACTGACTGAGCCACCCAGGTGCCCCAGAGAGATAAAAATTCTAAGAAATAATAATAAAAAAAGAAATGCTGGAGTTTAAAAATGCTGTAACAGAAATGAAAAATACCTTTGATAGTTTCATCAGTAGACTGGACACAGTTGAAAGAATCTGTGTGCTTGATGATGTATTAATAGAAACCTCTAAAACTGAAAAGCAAAGAGAAAAAAAGACTGGAAAAAAAAAGAACAGAATATTCAAGATCTATGGGAAATCCACAAAAGGATAATATATGTGTAATGGAAATACAAGAAGGAGAAGAAATAGACAAAGGAACGGAGAGATATTTGAAGCAATAATGACTGAGACATTCCCCCAAATGAATGTCAGACACCAAATCAAGATCGAGGAAGCCCAGCGAACAATAAGCAGGATAAAAGCTAAAGACAGAAAATCAAAGATAAAGTAAAATTGTTGAAAGAAGCCTGGTGGTAGGAGGTGCCTTATCAATAAAGGAGCAAAGACAAGAATTTCATTCAATTCCGCTCAGAAACCATGCAAGCAAGAGGAGAGTGGAGTGAAATAATTAGTGGTAAGAGAAAAAACACCAAATTACAATTCTGTCCTTCAAAAATAAAGGGTTATATACTTGAGAGAATTGGAGAAATTGATTTGTTACCAGTAGACTTACATTGCAAGAAATATTAAAAGAGAAGGAAAATGATGTAGAGCAGAAACTTGGATTGACATAAAGAAAGGAAGAGCATCAGAGAATGGCTAAGTGAAGGTAAAATATAAACTTTAAATTGTCTTATTCTTTAACTGAAAACAATTTG